GATTTGCATGCCATCCCNGGTTTGGGGACCCTGACACCCTACTGAATGAGGCCCTGGGAGGGCAGGCCCAGAAAATGCATGGGCTGGCCTGGGCAGCAATGCTGTGGTTTTGTCAGGCACAGCAGAACACGCTGACGGCAGGGCAGACCCAGGAGGTGGTGCAGGGCACTGCTGCCAATGCTGATTTGCATGCCATCCCGGTTTGGGGACCCTGACACCCTACTGAATGAGGCCCTGGGAGGGCAGGCCCAGAAAATGCATGGGCTGGCCTGGGCAGCAATGCTGTGGTTTTGTCAGGCACAGCAGAACACGCTGACGGCAGGGCAGACCCAGGAGGTGGTGCAGGGCACTGCTGCCAATGCTGATTTGCATGCCATCCCGGTTTGGGGACCCTGACACCCTACTGAATGAGGCCCTGGGAGGGCAGGCCCAGAAAATGCATGGGCTGGCCTGGGCAGCAATGCTGTGGTTTTGTCAGGCACAGTAGAACACGCTGACGGCAGGGCAGACCCAGGAGGTGGTGCAGGGCACTGCTGCCAATGCTGATTTGCATGCCATCCCGGTTTGGGGACCCTGACACCCTACTGAATGAGGCCCTGGGAGGGCAGGCCCAGAAAATGCATGGGCTGGCCTGGGCAGCAATGCTGTGGTTTTGTCAGGCACAGCAGAACACGCTGACGGCAGGGCAGACCCAGGAGGTGGTGTAGGGCACTGCTGCCAATGCTGATTTGCATGCCATCCCGGTTTGGGGACCCTGACACCCTACTGAATGAGGCCCTGGGAGGGCAGGCCCAGAAAATGCATGGGCTGGCCTGGGCAGCAATGCTGTGGTTTTGTCAGGCACAGCAGAACACGCTGACGGCAGGGCAGACCCAGGAGGTGGTGCAGGGCACTGCTGCCAATGCTGATTTGCATGCCATCCCGGTTTGGGGACCCTGACACCCTACTGAATGAGGCCCTGGGAGGGCAGGCCCAGAAAATGCATGGGCTGGCCTGGGCAGCAATGCTGTGGTTTTGTCAGGCACAGCAGAACACGCTGACGGCAGGGCAGACCCAGGAGGTGGTGCAGGGCACTGCTGCCAATGCTGATTTGCATGCCATCCCGGTTTGGGGACCCTGACACCCTACTGAATGAGGCCCTGGGAGGGCAGGCCCAGAAAATGCATGGGCTGGCCTGGGCAGCAAAATGCAAATGTTGCTTTCTGCATTGCACGTGCAGGTAGGCCTCCCGATCACCGGTCCCCCCCTGGCGGGGGTCATGCATCCCCCACCCATCATGCATTTCAGGCTTCATCTCCCTCAAACCTCCACCATTTTTCCTCTCGTTTGTCGTGATCGACTCCGGGTAGCCCAAATGCTTCATGACTCCCCCCAAGCTGCACATCAGCGTGCATGAGTCCAACCCTGGGAGGCGCCTTGACAATGAACAGCCGCGCAGGCAGGCATCTAAAAGACCAGGTCAGGCTCCTCCTATAAATCATCCCGGGCAGCGCAGCCGGCGCCATGCCGAGGCGGGGCCAAACACCTCGAGCAGCAGCGGCTGGTGGAGCGAGCGGCAGCAACGCAGCACGATGCTTGGGACGACACGAGAGAGGCGGACGAGCAGATGATGTCTCTGTCCCATGCCACGCTCGCCATCGCTGCACTGCTTGCCTCGCCTGCGCCGGCACCCGGTTTGCGTGCCAGCGCCCGCCTGTACAGCCATGGTTGGCACGCTGTGGGTGAGGCTCCTCAACGTAGCAGCAGTAGCAGCGGGGATATGCGGCACCAGATTTAGAACGCCTGACCAGCCAGCGCACCTGCTTTGTTGCCCCGGGTTCCCCGCCGCCGCCAGCCGTGGCTTCAGCTGCCGCTGTGCGCATGGTAATAGTCGCCGCTGCTGTTTGGGCCATACGATGCGGTGAAGTGACCTCCGGCTGACCCCCATCCCCGCCAGCATCATGCTCAGGGGAGCCAGGCTCCTCAACTGGATCTGTCACCCCGGTTGCCGTGCGCTGCAAGGTGGATGTCGCGCCCATCTTGTTGCCAAACTTGAACGCGGTGTTTGCCAAGCCTGCAGCAGGCAGCCGAGGAACTGATGAAGGGAGGCAGAGCAGGCAGGCAGGCAGGCAGGCAGGCAGGCAGGCAGGCAGGCAGGCAAGGCAGCAGAGCCTGCAGGACCAAGGCATGGAGAGACTGGCTGCCTGAGCGTCGCTACCAGGCGCACCTGACGGGGCGTCGAGCTTGCAGCCCGTGACAGCATTCATCATCATCTCAACATGCTTCCCTCCCACGACTTCGGCAGCTGCCAGAAACTCCAGAACTCGCAACAGGAACTGCAAGTTCTCCGCCGTCGCCCCCTCCGAAATGTCGGCAACCATGCGTGGCGTCACCCGCCGCCCGCCGGCGGATGCCACTATCTCCATCAAGAGAGCCTTCAGCAGTGGGCCCATGCCGGCAATATTGTGCGTTCTAGCCCATCCATTGCTGTTGGAGTATGCAGACTGTAACAGCAGAACGCCCCGCAGGTCAGGATGCGCCTTGGTGACTCTGTCCCAGTTTTGCAGTAGAGCTGTAACATGCTTGTGTTGGGACTTGCTGGTGCCGCCTTTCAGGCGTTTGGCAGACACGCCGAGACTGCTGCCTTTGCCACCAGAGTTGGTCGCTTCGTCGCGGCCCATAGGCCCCGCTAGAATGGCATTTGGGCTACCCGGAGTCGATCACGACAAACGAGAGGGAAAATGGTGGAGGTTTGAGGGAGATGAAGCCTGAAATGCATGATGGGTGGGGGATTCATGACCCCCGCCAGGGGGGGACCGGTGATCGGGAGGCCTACCTGGCACGTGGGTGGCAGGTGGCAATCAAGGTGCTCAGGGCTTGCACTGCTGCAATTTCCCCGCTTTGGTACACGCTTCATGAGTTCCTCTCTAGCTTTTGTCGCTGCAGGCGAACGTTAATGGCTCCGTTTTCGGTAAGTCAATGCCCAAGGTGCAGCTGCGGTTGGCCGCCTACTCCAGTCTGCCCTGAAATCTCTTCGCATGCGTCATGATTCGCATCTGAGCTTGACGAATGGGGGGAGGATTGCGGCCGGGAGGGTGTGTCAGTTGCGCGCCAGGCTGGACGGTTGCCGCGCGCACAGAGGCCCCCCGGGCCGTTCCAGTAGGCCCCCCACGCCATCAACGAAGCGCACAAGTCGCGCGGGCAGGCGGGGACGCTGCAGCGGGGGGGGCGGGGGATGGCGCGGCGCGATGGGCGCCCGGGCGCTCGGGGAACGCCGCCCAAAGGCCCCTGAGTGCGCGCAGGAGGGGATTCGGCGCGGCGCGGCGCCGGGAACGGGGCGGGGAACGCGGGCCCCGGGGGCGTCCCCCCACCGTGTTTTCCCACGCAGCTGCCATCATCGCATGATGCTTGCCCCCGAAAGGGCAGTTTTACCTGGCATGGCCAAATGATGCGCGGAACACCTAATCGGTGCAGGGGTGCTAATGGGATGCTGCTGCGACACGCCTGCAGGCCTCTGCCGACGAGTCAGCTCCCAGCCCTACCTGCCAGCACTGGAACCACGCCGCCGCCGGCCGAGAGTGGCCCTCCCACGACGCCGAATGCGGCTGGACCTGTGCCGGCCACCATCAAAGCCCCATCAACGTGCCCCGCCGTGAGTCACGCCGCCCTGCTGCTGCCGCAAGATGCTAGCTCTAGCACAGAGCCTCCGCCATGCAACACTCCCGCCAACAGGCCGCCCTCTCGTTTTCTTGGGGTGCCGAGCAGGGGTGGACGCCAGGCTGAGCAAGCACCTGAGGGCCAACCTGCAGTTCGGCACGGCAACCGACCTGCGCGTCCTCAATATCGGTCACGCGGTCAGTCTAACCTCCACCCGCTTGCTGTGGCAGCGCCGCCCGCCTGCCCAGACCCCCAGGCGCACTTGCTGGCGCCGCCCTGGGAGGCTGCTCGGGGCCAGCGCGGCTCCAGCTCGCGATGAGCACCCGCACACGCACCTACTGCCGCTGAGCGCTCGATATTTACCAGCGCCCCAGCATCACCTTGCATGTGGCACCCGCCACAGGTACACCCACCCACCCTCCCGCGCAGCGGTGACCCTATCCCTGCAGGTCCAGGTGGAGTTCTCCCCCCCCGCCGACAGCCGCGCCTCGGTGGTGGTGCTGGGCGACTCTGTGGCCAACCTGTACGATGCCGCCAACCCCAACCGCCTCCCCTTCACCCGCATCAACCTGGAGCCGCTGCAGTTCCACATGCATGGTGGGGGAGCTGGGCGTGTGGCCACCGGCGTGCTGCGCACCTTGCTTGAAGCTTCAACCCGGCAGCTGGGTGTGGAGCCTGACCAACCAGCTGCGTGCACATGCCTCTGCTGCAGCCACCTCTGAGCATCTGGTGCACGGCAAGAGCGCAATGCTGGAGCTGCACCTCGTGACCAAGCTGGTGGCCACACCTGGCGCCACACTGCCCAAGGAGTGCCCCGAGGGCTCCGATGCACTCTGCCTGGCCGTGTTTGGCGTGCTGTACGAGTGAGGGACGCAGTTCTGCACTCACCTGGCCACTGCCATCCTCGTGCATACTTCAAGAATACTTGTCACTCACCGCCTGTACCGCGTGCATCCCTGCTCTGCAGCATCAAGCACGGCGACAACGTCACCCGCGGCGACCCCACAATCCAGCAGATCATTGACAACCTTCCCACCTGCCCCGAAGCCGGCAAGGAGTGTGTGAAGTGAGCGCGAGAGCCACTGGGCAACGCTGCTGTGCACGCTGCAGGCATGGGCAGGTCGCATCCGCCTCCCTCATCGGCTTTGTGCATGCAAGCTAATCTGCCAGCGCACTGTTGTTCTGCCTGATGCCCTTCCTGCCCTCCCCCGCTGCAGAGATGTGCCCGGCTGGGAGCTGGACCTGTCTTCCTTCTTCCCCGACACCACCTACCATGCCTATACCGGCTCCCTCACCACCCCGCCCTGCACCGAGGGCGTGATGTGGCATGTGAGGCTGCAACAGGATCTCAGCAGATGTGCTGTGCTGTGCTGCCGGCTTCCTGCTCACCTGCCCTGCTCATTGCCCCCCATTGCCCCTGCAGGTCTTCCCCAACGTGCGGGCCGTGCTGTCAGAGCAGCAGGCCATCGATCTGCAGCTGGCGCTGTCCGCCGCCACGATTGAGGGCCAGGCAGTGCTCAACCGCCTGAACAACCGCGTCGTGCAGCCCCGCAACGACCGCAACGTGTTTGCCGCGTGCGCCACCTCGTGATCCACCCTGATTTTGATACTGCGTTCTTGGAGTTTTCGAAGCAGCTGATCACATGCCTGTTGATCACGCTGGGTGTTTTTCGATTGCACCCGCCGCCCACCCAAGCCCAACTGCCTTGTCCTGCCATGCTCCTATGGGCAGGCCCTTCCCTGCTGTTCCTCCCATCCATCGTAACTTGTTGCTATTGCTCCTGGGCTGAGATCATTGAAGAAGCATCCCAGGCTTGCACACAGCTACAGGGATGAAAGGGCGCTACAAGTGCTTAGGCGGCCAGCGCGGCAGCCAAGGGCAGACACATACAGGGTCCACTGAAATGGGGGGACAAAATTGCTGGATGGAAAGTGACAAGGGAAGGGGGAGGGGACAGCAAGGGGGGGTTCATGCGTTCTTGGCCAAGTATGTATTGCATTGCGGGGCAACACCGACAGCAGCACGACGGCTGCGCCACACCGCGCTGCCGCAGCTGCCGCTGGCGCCGGCATGCCCGAGTGCTTCTGTCGCAGGCCGGCAGCCAGCAGGGCGCTTCGCCCAAGCACCGCTGTACTGCTCCACCGCGCACAGCGGCTTACTCCTGCGGCTTGCCGTGCGTCAGGTAGGTGGTGGGCTCGGCCTCCTCGCTCTGCTTCACCACCACCGTGATCTCCGCCTCGCGGCACACCTCCGCCGCCGCCGCCTCCGCCTCCTCGTCGCCGCCCGTCAGGATGATGGCGGCAGTGGTGTCAGGCTCGTACCTGGAAGTAGGGGCAGAAGGCAGCGCGGCAGGGGGGAATGAGGAAGGGCATGCAAGGCGAGCCGGGTGTGAAGAGGGCATGCTTTGCGCCGCCACCAACGATGGTGCCACAGAGTGTAGCCTCTGCCGGCGCCGGCGCCTTGTTGAGCGCGCCGGCGGCCCTGCGCTTGGCTGGCTGAAGCGCCGTGCACCGGCGGCGCATGCCGGCGCTCGGCCGCTTGCACGGACGCCAGGCTGGCAGGCTGCCCAAGGCCGAAGCGGTGCGAGCCCGCGGCGCAAGCAGGCACAAAGAGGATGGAGAAAAGAAGCTCACATGAGCGTCTCGTCGTCATCAAACATATCTGAGAAGGAGTTGCGGGTGGAGGTGATGACCTTGACACCGTACCGCTCCCCCCACTCCTCATACTTGTCCTTGTAGCACAGCGCCGCCTCGTTGGGCGCCTGCACGCCACACAGGCGGTGCGCGGGAGTGGGGGGGCAGCACAGCGGGGTGCGGGTGGGGAGGCGGGGCGCGAGCCGGGGCAGACGGGGCGGACAGGCGAGCTGCCGCCGCGGCTGGCCGCGGCGCTCCGCCATCACTCAAGCCGGCCAGCCCAGCCGGTCAACCCAGCCAGCCTGGCTCTGCCTGGGCCAGCAGCCAGCCAGCCAGCCAGCCCGGCATAAGGGCCCCCACCACCCAAAAGTATGTAGCCAAAGGTATTGATTAAACTACTTTCAAGTGCCTAGTGACCCGGCCTCACCCGGTAGTACATGCGCACGTCTGCGCGGCGCGTGAAGTTGAGGCCCGAGGGGTCCGACCCCGCCTCGATCAGCGCCCGCGCGGTGGCGATGCCCGCGCTCTCGGCAAAGATCACGACGGTGGGGAACAAAAAGACGGCGGACACGGGGCCGCGCAGCTGCAGGCCGCCGCCCTGCAGGGCGAGGAGGGCCGGCGGGCGGCGGCGGCCGCGGGGGTCGGCGGCGGGCGGCGCGCCGGCAGCTGCCGCCGCCGTGCCCGGCTAGCAGCCGGCCGTGTGCTTGCCGTCCTGCCTCTGCCGCCCGTCTCGCATGCTCCCTCCCTGCCCTCCCCCCCTCCCTCCCTCCCTCCCTGCCTGCCTCGGTCACTCACCACGAAGGGGCCCACCTCCACCCCATCGTCCGCGCTGAGCTTGTACAGCTCCGGCGCATCCTCCTCCCGCACCACCAGCGGCAGCTCAGCCAGCACGCTGATCTCCTCCTTGACCGTCTGCAGCCCGGCAGCAGAGGGCGGGGTTGGACATGAGAGGCAGCGCACGTGCGCGTGATGGCGGCGGTGGTGGAAGGCGTGCCAAGACGAGAGCGCAGGCAGCCCTCCTCCCTCCTCCCTGCCTGCCGCGCACCACACCACACACCCACTCCTCTCTCCCCCCTGCCGTCCACCACACCACGCACCCGCTCCTCCCTCCTCCCTGCCGCCCACCACACCACACCACACCCCTCCACCTCCCTCCTCACACCTTGATCTCATTGGCCGTGATGTCGCCCCGCACGCGCAGCAGCACGTCGCGGTTGAGCGACTGCGGGAAGGGCGGCGCCGCGGGCAGGGCCTCTGCGCTGACCCCGCTGTTGGCACGCACGCTGGCGCGCTGCCCAATCTGGCGGTACGCGTTGCGCAGCGGCACCTTCTCCCGGCTGACCTCGCACTCAACCACAATCTCCCTGCGGCGCGGCAGGCGAGGGGTGGGAAGGGCGGGGAGGATAAGGCGAGGGGGGGAGACAGGCACGGCAGGCGGGGCAAGCAGGCGGGGCAGGGCTGCGGGCCAGGGCCACAGGAGGAGGCAGTGGCACGGCTGGGAACCGTGGCAATGCGTGCACCGGCCCATGGCCAGCAAGGCCTCTGTGCCACACACGCAGCGCGTTCGAGCAGCAACGTGCATGCAGGTGTCAGGCCAGCGGCACTGGACTCGCACGCACCGGATGCCGGGCCCCAGCTGCGTGCTGCGCACAAAGCGAGCCGGGTTCCAGTCTGGCTGGTCCTGTGCGCAGAACTTAGCCAGGTACCACTGGTCCCGATCGGGGTACTGCCACAGGTCCTCCTCCACCTCGGGGGCCGCCGCCGCAGGCCGCTGCACGCGGCGCCGTGGCGCCGCCGGCTGCTGGGCGGGCCGCGCCAGCCTGCAGCGGGGCAGCAGCGGCAGAAGAAGTCGGCTGGCGAGCGTAGCAATCCACTGTACTGGCTGAAACGCTACAGCAAGGTGAGCCTTTCCAATGCTGCAGGTGGCCCAGCCCCTTCCATTTGGCTGGCAGCAGCGGCGTCGGCCCTCGCCAGCACCTGCCGCCGGTCTGGAAGGAACGCCTGCTGCAGCTTGCGGCGCTGTTGCTACATCCTGGAGCTGCCTGCAGGGGCGGAAGGGGGCAACAGCAGCGGTCACAGGGCGCGAAGCAGTGCTGCAAAGCCGGGCATTTCGCTGGGGTGGCGCAGGACCCACCCTCAGCGCTGCTGCCATTGTGGTTTAACGTCCACGGAACGTGGCGAGTGCGGATGCCGCAAGCAGGGGCCTGGGCGCGCGGCTGCAGCACTGCCGGTGTGGGAATGCAGCGCACAGGGCAGGGCGTGCTTGCAGGTCAACAACCCGAAGTCACAAAAGCTGACGGTCACCACACAATCGCAAACGGGCATGCCCCCCAGAGTTTATCTGTGATCTGCCTGAAACTTTCCTCCCGCCCGCCACCGCCAGCAGGCATGTGTCTGGCTTTGGCTTGGGCCTCTGGTGCATTGATGGAGCCCGGCTACCGGTTCCTGATGGGTGTGTGCCCAGGTAATAGGCGCCGGATTGATCATCAGGCGCGGTGCGGGTCGCCTGACGAATGGCCCGCCGTCGCACGGCGCTGCAGCCAGCTGGCGCTCACCCGCGCCGGCACCCCAAATCGTTCCGCAACTCACAGGATGCAGACTGCAGCAGCCCGTGATGTAACAATCAGTACGCACAGCTTGGAGGGCGGGCACACCGTGCTTGTCAGTTGGCACGCACTGGAGGGTGTGTTCCTGAAGCGGGCGCCGTCGCCGCCATCGCCGGCCTCCAGTTGACACCTGCGGCGCTTGCAGCCTGCACGCCTGCACTGCATCACACCACAGCACGCCTAAATTGGCTCAATGACCGAGGTAGGGGTCCACGGTGCCTTGTCTCATGAGTTGGCGGCTGCGTGCTGGGCCGTGCTGGGTCTGGTGCCGACTCAGAGGACAGGCCAACCGTGGCGGCCTCCACCTTGTTGTTTGAGCTTGCTCCCTATCCCCATTAGCTCCGCATTCGTCGCAATGCTGCTTACAAGCCGCCTAGCGCCCGACTCGTGGCTCGAATACAAGAACCAGCTCTTCCCGCTCTGCACGGGATGGGTTTCGAAAAGCTCCGTCCTGGAGAGCCAAATGCGGCAGGCCAGCAGGCAGGGGCCTGGTGGCAAGCCCGTCATCGCCTTAGACAGCACGCAGCTGGCCTCCCTGCAGCGCGTGGTGGGCCCCAGCCTACCCAGCCCATTGTCCATTGAGCGCTTCCTGGGCGCGCTGTCGGGCACGGCGCTGGAGCACTGCTCAGGCGAGTGGCCAAATCTGGCAAATCTTCCCCCTCTCATGCACAGGCGGCGCTCCTCGCCCCCGCCCCGCCTCTCGACAGCGCCGCCCGGCGTCCACGACACCCTGGGGCGTCCCGCTTCGCCTTTGCCCCGCCGCCAGTTGTCGCCACTACGGCCCGCCGCCGCCGACGCATGCCCGCGCCCACCGCCCCCCCCTCCCTGCAGAGGTGGAGCAGGTGGTGCAGATCCTGAAGCTGGCAGACTGGTTTGGCGCGCACGAGCTGCGCGACCGCTGCGACTCCCGCCTCTGCCAGCTGCTGCACGGGCTGAGCAACCGGCAGGCGGTGTCGGACTCGCGGGAGGAGGCGGCGGCGCAGGCGCTCGAGGCCGGCATCCAGCATTACCTCACAAAGACAGGTGGGCAGCACCCCGCCCTGCTCCCGCACGTGCCAGCGCTGCTAGAAGGCAGAGGCGGGCCGGGGCTTGGGCAGGGGAGAGGCGTGGAGGGGCCGGAGTGCGCCCCCGCTCGCAACTGCTGCTGTACGGCGGCGCCGGGCGGGGGCGATGCCTGCGGCCCCCGCCTGCGGCCCTCGCCCAGCGCCGGGCACACGGCGCCGCGCCCGAGCCTTCCATGGCAGCTCATGCCCCCAGCCTGCAGCTCCACCAGGCAAAGCCCGCCTCTGCGGCTCGCACGCCCGCTCCTGACTCCTGCTCCCCTGCCCTTTTGCCCCCCCTCCCCGCCCGTGCGCCCCCCGCAGTCGGCTGGCTGCTCCCCTGGGCGCTGCAGCAGCTGAGCCGCGGCGACAAGGACTGCCCCGGCGCCGCCGCCGCGGAGCAGCTCAGCGGCGAGCTGCGCACGGGGCAGCAGCACAGCGCGTGGTTCCTCCACCGTGCCGCGCGGCGCCGCCGCCGCCTGCACGAGGCCCTCATGGGCGACGACCAGCTCAAGGTGGTGCTCATGGAGCAGCAGTGGTGGGCCCAGGGAGACGACTTCGAGGCCGGCTGCGCCGACTGCGGCTGCTCCCCCTCCGACCTGCGCCCCGCCTATGATTGCACGGGTGAGAGTGTGTGAGGGCGGACAGGCGCGGTGCAGCGGGCCGGCGAGCTGGCTCGGGGGAGGCATGAGCTGCGGGGCGCGCCTGTGGCTGGGGCAACCGCGCCTGTGGGTGTGGGGCCTGGCAGCCGCCGCGGCTTCTGTTTCCGCATACATGTCAAGGAGAACACAATGCATGCACGTAGCCCCGCACTCCCCACCGGGTCCCCTCCTGCCCCAGCCTGGCTCCCCCCCCCCCCCCCGACTCCCGCCACCCTCGTCCCCTCCCCTCCCCGCCGCAGGCGAGGCCTGGCTCTGGTCCCGCGACGGCTCCAGTTACATGGCAGCCGCCGCCCACTTTGCCCACCTGCTGCACGAGCGGTGCTGGGGCCTGACGCCCGCGGGCAGCGGCTTTTGCTCCGGCCCGCTGGCCATCAGCCCGCGCGACCAGGCGCCCGCCCCGCAGGGCCTCGTGCGCATGGGCAGCATGAGCTCCGTGGGGCAGCACCACTAGGCCCGGGGCGGCGCCCCGCCGGGCGACTGCGGCTGATGCCGCGGCGCCTGGGGCCGGCCGCAGGCCACCACCCAGCAGCAGCATCGTTGCAGCAGCACAGCAGCAGCAGCATTCCACCACCAGCGGCAGCACGCACTTCAGCAGCAGCAGCAGCAGAGGCTTCTCCAGTCTGAGGTGGATGCGGCCTGCCACCCAGCAGCCGGCGCTAGAGCGCCCCAGCCACCAGCTTCCCAGCACACATGACCAGTCGCTAGGCAGATGTTTAGCAGCAGGCCAGGCCAGGAATCAGCACCCAGCCCCTCAGCCCCCCAGTCCCCCAACACTTGGCCCATCACTACAGAACTCCCCCCCGCCGGCGCATTGCCCGCCAGCCCCGCGCGGCACGCGCCAACCAGCCGGCTCGCCGCCTGCGCCCGCCGGCCAGCCAGCCAGCCTCCATGTGGGCTGGCTGCCCTGTCCTTCCGCCTCCAGCTGACTACCGTAAACGCGCTACTCGCAGAACCCAAGCTCCGCCGCCGATCAATTGCCGGCCGTGGCACATTGCTTCTTGCCCTGACTTCACTGTCCCTGTCCCTGCCGCCCAGTTTTCCTGCCGTCGGGCCCCTTTCGAGGCGCAGCCATTCACGCCTCCCAAGCACTCCAGACGCATGCCCGCACCCCCTCCCATTGACGCCATTCTCTGCCAATCCCACCCTGCCCACACACGAACATACCACCCCCAC